ACGTCCAAGCTTTTTTTCCACCTTCTTGTCTATTTCATTTAATATGTTAAGTAGAAAAAAATTGGGGCATTTAGGTATCTTTATATCTAATGCTTCATTTATTGTTTTTCTTATCTTTGTCCAATATCTTTTTGCTTTAGAGCATCTCCACCACATGTGATAAAGAGTCCCTTTCTTCATCCCACATTTCCAACATTCTCTTTTACCTGTCTTATATATTACATTTAACTTAACTGGCGTGAGATACCATCTATTCGTCCTTTTTAGAAAATTTTCTTTGAGATCCTGACAAGCTGTAAATCTATTTGTCTGGTTCCAGGCCTTTTCCCAGCTTTCAATGTTTATATTCTTTCTCATATCTCTCGCCCAGTTGATCATGACTTGCTTAATCGTTTCACCTTCTAAGTTTCTCATTGTGAAAAGTTTATAATATTTCTTTATATGGTGTCCTTCTTTGTCCATTATGATTTTATCCAGCTCCGTATTTTGTTCCTCAAATCCTTCTGTTTTCAAGTCAAATTTAAATCTTTCTTTTAATTGTAAATAAAGGAACCAACTACTTTCAATTCCTTCCGAGTCTAGATGTTCTTTCGTTTTCATTATTCGAATTCCTTTTTCATTCCTCTCCGTTATAGCCTGATAATTAATCCATCTTCTATTCTCGCATTTGCTCCTACCAAATAGCGCTTCCTGAGGGGAAAGCCAAAGGGGAAGTTTTCTATAGTATTTCTTTCTTATTTTCAACCACACTCTCAACAAACTTCTTCTTATGTAATGATGTTCAAAATCTTTATTTACTGTAGCCTTATTGTACCATAGGTATGCGTGCCAGCCAAAACGTATATTGCTGTTTAACATTTTTGTTTCCTCCAGCTTAATCCAAGTTTCGAGCCATTCCATGCAACTTGCATAGTAGTATGTTTTCAAGTCTGGAAGATTACAACTGCCTTTTTCCTTTGATTCAATTAAATTCGTCCATCTGATTCTTGGCTTTCTACCTTTCCATATAAACTTCGATATTTCTCTTCTCCAGCTATCAAAACAATTCTAGTTATATATTATTGGTAATGTTTGGAACAAATACATTAATTTCGGTAGAACATTTATTTTTATGATAGATATTCTTCCAAGCAAGGACAATTGATATCTTGAACATTTGTGTAAATCTTGTTTTATTTCTTTCCAGACCTTACTGTAATTGTTTTCAAATAAATCTCCATTTCTTTTTGTGATGGTCAATAGATATTTTATTTTTTTCTCTATTTTGATGTTTGATTTTTTTATTTGTTCTTGTTCTTCTTTACTTATGTTTTTTGTTATTATTGCTGATTTATTGTAGTTTATTTTGAATCCTGAGATTGAACCAAATTATTTCATTATTTGTAATAATCTGTCCAGGCTCTTCATAGGATCTTCTAGGAAACAAATAATGTCATCTGCAAAGGTTTTTATTCTAAACTCCTGTTCCTTCGACTTGACACCTTGTAGGTTTTCATCTTCCCTTATTTTTATAA